CACACACACACACACACACACACACACACACACACACAATCATATACATCAATACAAATCAAAAGAAGTATTTTTTAAAATTAAATAAAATAGAATTGAAGCCATAACATAGTGTGTGTGTGTGTGTGTGTGTGTGTGTGTGCGTGTGTGTGTGTGTGTGTGTGTTTAGGGCTTTTCAAACAATGTATGTCTTCCTTTGACTTGTATTGTAAGTCTGGGAGAGAATAGATTCGAACGCAGGGGAATGCTTTTCTTCAAGGATGTGGGGCCTCGGCTGTGTTGACTTAAAATACTTTCTTCGCAGGGCATCAGATCATGACTCCAGATGTTTTACTCCAGCTCAAGAGAGAAGACGTGCTCTGGATGTTGATGATGGCCGGCTGGAGCAGAGAGTCTACAGGTGAGAACACAGGGACTCATCTACCCTGCTTCTTAGTGTGGGCACAGCTTTGGGGCCGGTATAAACCAACACTTAGGAGGTAGAGGCAGGAAGATCGGGAGTTCAAGGTCGTCCTTGTTGATACAGTGGGTTCAAGGCCAACCTGGAATGCATAAGACCCTGTCTCACAAAACATTCAATGGGATTTTGTGGTCGTCCTTCAAGGCAAGACCATCTCTGTAATAAGATGGGCATGATGCGTGCTCCGGGAATGTAGGGGTTCCAAGATTGGCTATTCACCTTCTGTCCCCTTCAACACCCCCCCCTTTTTTTTTTCTTTCGGAGACAGGGTTTCTTTGTATTGTTTTGGATCCTGTCCTGGAACTCGCTCTGTCGACCAGACTGACCTCAAACTCAGAGAGATCTGCCTGCCTCTGTCTCCCAAATGCTGGGATTAAAGGTATGCGCCACCACACCTGGCCAGAAAAAGGGGAGGGGAGGATTCCTGGTGGAGATGCTCTTTACGCTCTAGAGATAACGAAATTGTAGCTTTCTACACTCACCCGCGATGCTTTACAGGGCTCTCGAGGGTTCTTATTATTGTGTGGTGAATGGGAGCCTGCTGCACTGACTTCTAGGGCGTGGAGGTGAGATGCCAGGATACAGGACGTTAAAGGGAAGGGGAGCCGATCCGACAGCAGCTAACAGAGCATCGCACTCCCGCCCTGTCTGTCTCTGAACTCTCTTTGTGCTTTTAGGAGCCAGGAATCCAGATGGGATGGAGTCGCTTCAGGAGGTAGGATGGAGGTACCTGCCGCACCAGGAGCTCTTCTGCTCACGGATCCGGCACCAAGTTTCCAGGGCGTTAACCCAGGCTGGAGACTGCACGGGGAGCACTGAAGAAGCTGGCTCTCCACTGGGGAAACAGGATGCTGTCCAGCGTGAGGAAGCGGAGTTCAGTAAACACTCCGGGCGGGATTCACGGCTTCCACTCCACTGTGGGCAGAGCAGTGGTGAAGAACCTTACAGAGAGGAGCTGATGGGGAAAGGCTCTCACGGGGACCGTCCTCTTCAGGCGAAGGGGCCAGCCCACGCAGGAGAGAAGAGGTACAAATGCGAAAGCTGTGACAACTCCTTCTGTCGGCTGTCGGGTCTCCAAGCTCATCAGGCCAGGCACACGGGAGAGAAACCCTACAAATGTGAGGAGTGCGGGAAGAGCTTTACTCGGGCCTCCACGCTCCTGGACCATCAGCGAGGCCACACTGGCAACAAGCCCTACCAGTGCGACGCTTGTTGGAAGAGTTTCTGTCACAGCTCAGAGTTTAACAATCACCTCAGAGTCCACACTGGAGAAAAGCCCTACGTGTGTGAGGAGTGTGGGAAGGGCTTCAGCCAGGCCTCGCATCTCCTGGCACATCAGAGAGGCCACACTGGGGAGAAACCCTACAAGTGTGGCATGTGCGGAAAGGGATTCAGCCGGAGTTCAGATCTTAACGTCCATTGTCGAATCCACACGGGAGAGAAACCCTACAAATGTGAGAGGTGCGGGAAGGCCTTCAGTCGAGTGTCAATTCTCCAAGTGCATCAGAGGGTCCACAGTGACGAGAAACCCTATCAGTGTGACGCGTGTGGGAAGGGCTTCACCGTGGAGTCACACCTTCAGGCTCACCAGAGGTCCCACACTGGAGAAAGACCCTATCGGTGCGAGGAGTGTGGGAGAGGCTTCTGCAGAGCTTCCAACTTTCTAGCCCACCGTGGAGTCCACACTGGAGAGAAACCCTACCGATGTGACCTGTGTGGCAAACGCTTCCGCCAGAGGTCCTACCTCCACGACCACCACCGGGTTCACACTGGAGAGAAACCGTACAAGTGTGGGGAGTGTGGCAAGGTCTTCAGCTGGAGCTCCTACCTCAAAGCCCACCAGAGGGTTCACACTGGGGAGAAACCTTACCGATGTGAGGCGTGCGGCAAAGGGTTCAGCTGGAGCTCAAGCCTCCTGATTCACCAGAGAGTCCACGCTGACCATGAGGGTTGCAGGGATTTCCCTGCACCAGAGGTCTCACCCAGGAAACACGCTCTATAAGGTCCTGTGATCTGGTAATTTCAGATGGAAGCCCAAATGTTCCAGTTCTTAGAGCCCTCGTGGGAGACAAAGGAGTTGCTGGATCATACAAGCATCAGCCTTTTAACAATGATTGGGAGACCCCAGAGCAAAGAAGTCTGTAGGTTGGAACCCTGCAGACTTCATTCAGAACCTTGATCTTTAACCTCAGGAAAGTTGAGTGTAGTCCGGAAGGATCTAAACGTCCTAGGGACCAGATCTGTTTGCCAGGAGCAAAGTTTCTGAAACTGTGGGTGGCAACCCCATGTGGGGCTGAGTCACCGAAATGTGGCCGTCACAAGATATTTACAAACGCTGCAAGCTTTCTTACATAATCCAGTGAGCAAAAATTCAAAACTCAACAGGTAATAAAACCTCGGGATTCCCGGCAGCTCTTACCCAAGCTGCAGATCGTGTGACTTTCCTGTAGCCTTTTCCTGAAAACACAGTGTGAGCAAAGTGCCCAGAGGCACTGCTTGAGGTCCCGCTGCTCAGGGCCGAAATTGTCTGTAAGGAACAGCAGTGCTTGCTACTGTACACACATCTCTGCTCTTACAGAAGCATGATCGTTTGTTTACAGTATTTTCCTAGTCTCATCCCTAGTGTCAGACTAGTCTAGCTGCAGATTGTGTCCTGGCCAGCGTGATTTTAAACATCCACATAAGAAAGGTTCAGGCATTATGCTGGCCTGCCTCTGTTACCTGGCGGAATCCACTCAGGCAGTACCCCGCTCAGCCCAGGGTTCCATGGGAACTAAGTCTGCACGCAGGTGCAAAGGACACCTTTAAAAGACAGACCCCTTCCCCTCTGCCCCTCTTCTCTCTGCCTCTTTCTCTTGAGACAGGCCATGGCGGTCAGTCATTTAACCCTGTTTCTCTTCTCTCTTAGTCTCCCTACTCTGCCGGGCCTATAATAAACTGGTTAATATGTCTAATAGTCTCATGTCTCATCCTGTGCCTCTTCTTTTATTTCTTTCTTTTTTTTTTTCGAGACAGGGTTTCTCTGTGGCTTTTGGAGGCTGTCCTGGCACTCGCTCTGTAGACCAGGCTGGCCTCGAACTCACAGAGATCCGCCTGCCTCTGCCTCCCGAGTGCTGGGATTAAAGGCGTGCGCCACCAACGCCCGGCTTTCTTTTATTTCTAATTTAAGCAAAAACCTAACAGCGTAGCTCCTCTTACAGAAAGAGTTCCCCAGCACTACCATGCAAAATAGTTTCATCGTTAATAAAGTATCACTTATTGAAACTGTTTTGAAACACGTTCCTTCCTGGTTGACAGTAAGCATTTGAGGCGTGTACCTACATTGTATGCCTTACACCCAAGCGGTGCCTGGGACATCGCATACAGAGCATTTGTAAGTATTTTTTATTCAATCTATCTCTCAATAAAGTTTCTGAAGCACTGTTCCTAGAGGCTTGAAGGAGATTTAAGTTATACACACAGGCCGATTTTCCCAACGCTCTGGAGCCTGTGTGGTAATGTCTGTCAAACTGAAGGCCATCAGGCATTGGTGGCTTCAGAAATGAGTGGGTTGCGACCAGCTTTTTGGCATGCTCACCCTGCACCCAAGTGTACTGTATGTAGTTATACGTGCTCAGACCTCGATTTTGTTGCTTCCTGAACTTTGACAAACGTATACACATGCATGGTCATCAACGTCAGCTGTATAATGTTTCTAATCAACAGAAATGTGCCGTTTCCAGGCAGTCCCACCTTCAAGGCCAACAAGCTTTACGGTTTCTGAGCTACAGATGCACTTCAGCCATTCTGGCACAGGTTCAGGGTGTTTTTGAATGTTGGAGTCTGACCTCTCAATTTATTCAGTAAATATTTCACAGGATTCAGCATTCATTCTGGATTAAAAAAAATGCTCAGTGAGGTAGGAGGCAAATATGGAATAGCAATAAAATGATTTTAATGGGATTACATACAGTAAGGCTGACTTGGTTATTGTTAGACCCCCGAAAAACTCAAGTATCCGGGGTCCCAGGCCACGTTCTCGGTCACCCCAATCACCAGGCAGATTCGAGAGCTTGCTGCAAACTGCACGAGGCTTTATTGTAATTTAACGAGCTAACCCCATGTTAGCTTGAGTCTTTCCCCCCCCCGCCATGGCGGATGGCTAGAAAAGACAGTTCAAAGCCGCTGTATACAGATCTTTATAGGACAGCATAAGGGAGTATCTAGGGGTACTCACAGGCTCACGATTGGTGTGCTTCCAGGCTTGGAGGGCTTTCCCTGTGTAGATTGGTCAACTGGTTGTTATGGCCTATAGGCCCTCCCAGGGTGGTTGCTATGCTCTGCGCATCATTGCTGTGCACTTGTCTGTTAAGCACATCCAAAGCCGTAAAGCATAGCGCCACATCTTTGCTAAGTCATATTCCTATTTAAATTGTTGAATCATGTCTGAATCTTTGCCCCTTTTTGAAAGTTGGTTATTTTTTGTTGTTTTTTTTTTAAATATTTATCTATTATGTATACAACATTCTGCTTCCATGTCTATCTGCACACCAGAAGAGGGCACCAGATCTCATAACGGATGGTTGTGAGCCACCATGTGGTTGCTGGGAATTGAACTCAGGACCTCTGGAAGAGCAGAGTCAGTGCTCTTAACCCCTGAGCCATCTCTCCAGCCCTTTGTTGTTTTTTGAGACAGGATTTCTCTGTGTAGCTTTGGAACGTAGCCCTGGAACTCTCTCCGTAGATGAGGCTGGCCTGGAACTCACAGAGATCCCCCTGCCTCTGCCTCTGGAGTGCTGGAATTAAAGGCCATGCGCCACCATCGCCTGGCGAAAGTTGCTTATTTTCAAGGTCTGGCAAGACAGCCCGGGAGGTGAAGGCCGCTGCTGCTGTGCAGCCTGACAACCGGAGCTGGATCCTTTGGACCAGGGAGTGGTGCAGGGAGAGCGCTTTCTGCTCCGGGAAGCTGCCCTGTGACTTCCCCGCTCGTGCTGCGGCATGCGCGTGTCCACACAAGCGCACAGGGTTTATCCGGTGCTGCGTATGTGTAGTTTTCAGGAAGACTCTGTTTGTGCGGATGCTTCGCCTGCATTGTGTCTGCGCACCGCGCACACGCGGGGGCGCGGGGG